AATGTCCTTCAAAATGAGAATGTTGACAAAAAATCTTGAAGTTTGACTGTATTTGGGTCACAGTTGACTTTTGCCCTAGCATAGTCGATTTTTGGACCCTTTGAGCAATTGACTGAGCGAACTTCCTCTGTAAGGCTTGAAACTTGACATGGATGATCTTGAGAACATATTAGGACACTGGGGAGCACTTGAGGTCATTTGTATGCAAGGACCTTGATGCAACACAAAACCTTAATTTGGGATTGACTGCCTTAGGAGATAGCTTGATTGTCCAACTCTTGAGCAATCTTGAGCCACTTGGAGATTTTTCTTGCAATGTTTTGAGAAATATGAGAGAGAAAATTTTGGGGTGCAACAAAAATTTAATTAGTTACATGCATAAATATCATATAATTGTGATGTACCTCTTTTATTGATGCCAATGACTCGGTTTGCCGCGGAATCCCCTTGTCTTTTGCTTTGGATTTTGTTGGAATCTAAATGCGCGTAAAAACATTGATTACTCAATGGTTCATATATATGGTTTTAAGCATCCCTCATTATCTACACTAATGAGGCTTGATGTCCATGCAAGAAACAAACCGATTGCATCTCCCACAAGTGTGGCATCCGAAACATCGTCAGGATATGGTAATAACGCATCCTTCTCCAAAGCAATGTCAATCGATACTTTCAAACAGCCAGTGGGAAGTGGTTTAGTGTGAAGTAATTCTCCCAAAGTGTTATGCACTTTTCCCTTGCCAACCATCCGATAAGTCGGTGACGATAAGTAGAGATGACAAGGTGAAATGCCCTAAAACCTATTGGTAGAAAAGGATCCATTACAACTTGACAATCATGTGTCTTTAAACTCTCCAACTTGAGGTCTTTCATAGATATAAGTCTTCTAATATCTGAAGAGTATCATTCTGAAACTTTAACTTCACTTAGAAACTTACACAATATTTTTTTCTCCTTTCTAGATAGAGTAAAAGCAACAGGTGATAGATATGTTCGTCTTCCTTTCTTCACATGTTCTAATTCAGTTCTTATTCCCATCTTTAACATGTCCTCCCTTTCTTTAAGTCTATTCTTAGACTTTCCTTTTATATTAAGTAACGTACCAATAACACTTTCGAATACATTTTTTTCAATATGCATAACATCGAGAAAATGTCTCACATACAAAGACTTCCAATATGGAAATTCAAAAAAAATTGACCTCTTCTTCCATCCACCTTTGACAACCTTATGTGCAAAAGGCTTGCCAAACTGAGTACACACATCTTTCACCTTTTCAAAAATTTGGTCACCTAACAATGCAGGTGGAGCTTTACGTTGTTCGATATCTCCATTGAATGCTTTTCTCCACCCACGGTAGTGATATTTAGAATGTAAGAATCTAAGATGATCGAGAAACGCATTCTTCTGACAAAGTTCCAATCGCATCATATCAGTTCCATCTTCATAAACAGGACACACACGTTGACCTTTAATGCTATATCCAGATAGATTCCCGTATGTTGGAAAATCATTAATTGTGCCAAACAACATCGTCCTCAAATTGAAACTTTATTTCCTATATCCATCATAAACCTCCACACCGTTCTCCCACAAAATATTTAAATCTTTGATCAAAGGTGTCAAGTATACGTCTATATCATTTCCTGGTTGTTTAGGCCCAGAAATTAACATAAATAACATCATGTATTTACGCTTCATACATAGCCATGGAGGTAGGTTATAAATCATAAGAATCACAGGCCATGTGGTATGTGAGATACTTTGAAGACCACGTGGGTTCATTCCATCAGTAGATAATGCCAAGCGAAGGTTTCTTGCTTCTTCTCCAAAATCAGGATAATCATCATCAATTTTCAACCACTATGGTGAATCTGCCGGATGTCGATACTTTCCATCAATAATTCTTTCATCTGCATGCTAAGTCAAGTGTCTTGCATCGGTTTCACTATGAAACATGCGCCTAAATCTCGGAATTATAGGAAAATACCATAAGACTTTTGCTGGAGACAATTTTTTCTTATATCGAGATAAACCGCACTTAGGGCACTTAGTTAACGATGCATATTCATTTTGAAACAAAACACAATCATTTGGACAAGCATGTATCTGATCATAACTCATGCCAATAGAGCACAACATTTTTTTGGCCTCCTAGGTTCGATTAAGAAGAACATTATCCTCCGGAAGCATATCTATCATAAGGGCTAATAAATATGAAACTTTTATCTGACCATCCATTGCTCGCCTTTAAGTTGTACAACTTTAATACCGCATACAGTCTTGTGAATTTAGTGCAACTGTTATACAACGGTTTCTCTGCATCACTTACCAATCTCTCAAATATTTTGGGACAATCCTGAAGATCTTCTTCAAGTGCATCTGCAATCTCTTCGACTCGATTAAAATTGTATGTATCTGTGTCCTTGTCGTCTGAAGCATAGACCGTACTACTTTTCTCCCCCGGTTCAACATTGTCGTTACTTTTTTCACCATGAAATATCCAACACATATAACTTCTATCAATTCCACGCATTAGTAAATGCGATTTCAATCCATCTGCGTCGACCCGATCCACATAACAATAACCCAAGCAAGGACACTTCATTCGACTGGGGTCTTTGGTGTGTTCAACAGAAAACTTAACGAATTCCAATACCCCATTCTCGTACTCTTTTGACAATCGATCAACATACATCCATTTTCCATTTTTTTCTACTAATTAAAGTAAACAAAAATATTATAAACGGATTATTCCCTTTTTTTATGAATTAAACGAATTATTTCTAGAAAATTATTTCTAGAGTTATTAATATGGACTAAAAATAAATATAGGAAGGAGATAGTAAATAAATAAAAGAATCAGTAATGTTGAATTTGAACTTGACTTACCAAAGAAAGAAAAGGGGGTTATTGGTGTCGATGGCGGATGATGCGGCTTTGACGTTCTTCGAATCGGTGATGATCTTTGACTAACTACACCAATACAAAGGAATCATCAAAAACAAACAAAAACTGTCCATTTAGGAGACTAATGAATTTAGGTGTCAATGCACATGAACAAAATAGGGAAAATAGTATATACACTATAAGAAGATTAATACAAACTTTTAGAAATTTTGTATGATTTAAACGGGTTATTTCTAGAAATTTAGTACATATATATCTCATAACCAAACTCTATTAATTAAATATATATATATATATATATATATATATATATATATATATATATATATATATATATATATATATATATATATATATATATATATATATATATATTATTCAACTATATATGAAGTGAAGTAACTAGTTCTTATGTTGTAGTTATGCTATTAAAATCATGAAAATTTGGATATTTACTATGATTGAATGTCTAATGAGATGAAATAATTTAGAGGACTAACACCCTATATGATTAAACAACTTATTTTCGCGTTTATCATATAATTGCTTATATTATAAGTCATTTATATGAAACAAAGAAGAAGAGGCAATAAGTTACTACCTTTGAATTGTGGATGTCAACAAAGCTTCTTAGCAATAGTACTTTGCCCAGAACCACACAAACTAGTCAAATAATGATCTACATCATAAAATAAATAGAATCCGACAAACGAGTCATAAACTTATACCAACAAAAATTATGCTACAAACAACTTCTCTATTAGCTTGCTCTTAGCCATGTTAATGCACTCTAACAAATAAAAACACTTTCCAAATTGATTTTATACATAACAACATTGAGCATTTTAATTTATCATGATTTTAATAAAACTCAGATTCAAGAAAGAACCTACCTTGAGAAAGGGTCGGTCGGGATGGAGAACAACCGAGAGAGACGATGGAGGACGGAGGGAAAGGCCGGCGGAGCTTGATGACGGCGGAAGGCGCTTGGACGACGGCGGAAGGAGGTTGGAGAGGAAAAGGGTTTTTGTTCGTGAGAGGGAAACCAGTCTGTGAAAAGAAGAAACGAGTCTGATTCTAATTTTTAATTTTAATTTATATGCCTTTAGACAATGCTTTTTAGAAAGCGCTGGCTAAAGTGGTTCTTTAGCAGCACTTTTGAAAAGCGCTGGATAATGTAGCCCTTTAGCAGCGTTTTTGAGATATTTTTTTTAATTTTATATGACTTTAGACAGCGCTTTTTAAAAGCACTGTCTAAAGTGGTCCTTTACCAGCGCTTTTGCTAAAGTGCTTTCTAAAGCAACACTTTAAACAGCGCTTTTTAGCAACGTTTTTATTTATTTTTGTATATATAACTTCTGTGTTTTTTTTTTAAATTCACTTATAGGAGTGCATTTGTATAAAAGCGCTGTCTAATATGCGTTGTTAAAAACACTTTTTGACGTAATCAACAGTGCTTTTGTATAAAAGCGCTGTCTAATATGCGCTGTTAAAAACACTTTTTGACGTAGTGATTAATGCATTTGTGAATAATTATAAAGCATGAATGACCCAAATTTCTTAGACTTGCTCTTGTGAAGTTTCTGCAAATGATTTATGTAGTATAATACATCACTGCTCATAAGAGACAAATAGCTTTCATGGCCTTAAAGAGGCACATGCTCCTATTCCTTCCCAGTACAAGATCAAGTAAAAATAAGAAATAATTGATATAAATAAGCTGATGAATCACAAGAGTGAATATGTTTAGATCTAAATATTAAATAGGCTGCATGAACCACAAATCGAATAAATTTAGTTTTTTATTATTTACATGTTTAGATCTAAACAATGTCAACGAAAATGGGATCAAATAAAATCAAAATCTGATCATTATTGATCATTGTATGACATATTCAAAACCAATCACATGAAATCTATAATAAATTAATACCATCCTCAATAAATACATTTTTAAAATATTGTAAACAAAAATGGGATCAAACTTTCACAATATGTAAGATGCTCATATTTGATATCATGTTTAATATATATTGACTCATCATCCTCATGTATTTGTTACACACAAATACATATTATACATTAGCATAATGGAAGATCAACCTAAGAAGTTTCTTCACATTGTTGTTTTTCCATGGCTTGCTTTTGGTCATATTAGTCCTTTCTTTGAGCTTTCTAAACTCATAGCTCAAAAGGGTCACAAAATTTCATTCATTTCCACACCTAGAAACATCAAACGCCTACCTCAAATTCCTCCGAGTTTACAACTTTTGATCGAATTTGTAGAACTCCCACTTCCACATATAGATCAACTACCTGAGAATGCGGAAGCCACTATGGACATTCCAACAGATATTGTTCCATATCTCAAGAAAGCATTTGATGGTCTTCAACAACCTTTGACTCAGTTTTTGGAAACATCTACTCCTGATTGTATCATATATGACTTTGTACCTTATTGGTTACCACCAGTGTTATCAAAGCTTGGCATGTTTAGCATCTATTTCTCTATTTTTACTGCATCTTTTTTAGAGGAACTCTTGGTTCTTAAGTCACACGATGAGGACAATGTTATTTCTACTATCCACTTTGAACAAAATGAATCTGGTGCTTCAGATGTGTTTAGGATGAAAGAAACCTTTTTTGGTGCTGATTTTATTGCTGTAAGAAGTTGCATGGAGATTGAAGGTAAGTCTGTAGAATCGATTGAAAAGGAATGCAAGAAAAAAATGATTCCAGTTGGATTATTGGCACCTTCACTAGAATTCAGTGAAGATAAAAAAGATGAAAGTTGGGATACAATCCTAGAGTGGTTGGATAAACAGGAAAGAAAGTCAGTGGTATATGTTGCATTTGGAAGTGAAGTGATATTAAATGATCAAGAATTTAGTGAGATAGCGAAAGGATTGGAATTGTCTAGTTTTCCCTTTCTTTGGATTTTGAAGAACCAAGATAAACATGATTGGTTTGTTGAGAATGATGCATGTAAGAACGGATTGATTTGGAGTGATTGGGCACCACAGTTGAGAATCTTATCGCACGAGTCGATTGGAGGATTCTTGACACATTGTGGTTGGAGTTCAGTGATTGAGAGTCTTCAGGTTGGGTGTCCACTTATTATATTACCTTTTCAAAATGATCAAGGGTTAAATGCTAGAGTTATGGAAGAAAAAATGGTTGGGGTAAAGGTAGAGAGAAATGATGAAAAATTCAATAGGGATTCAGTGGCTAAAGCATTGAGATTGGTGATGGTAGAGGAAGAAGGAAAGAGATATCGAAGTAAAGCTGAAGAGATGGGTAAGATAGTTGGAGACAAGGAGCTTCAGCAAAAATATATAGATGATTTTGTTGATTATGTTGAGCTCAATGTCCTTGCCTCTAAGCATTAGCACTAAGGTTCCTTTGCTCTTTCTTTCTGTCTTAAACATTACCTAGGCTAGGACAGAATCATAGTCACAACAAATGTTTGTTTGTTTTATTTTGTTTTGTTGCTGTAATGTCATATTGGATGGTGCTGGTTTTCTAATTCATGCATTCAAATAGAAATAGATGTTTGTTACTTTGTTCCATGCTGCCTTACTACAAACTTCTTTTCAATAGGCAATTTAAGTTTTTTTCATTTCTGATCAAACTGTCCGAAATTGTAAGTGCAGTTTGTGAGTAACTTGTTGGTTAATGAATACGTTACTGTGTTAGCAGTCGAGTTTATTCGCTGTATTGTAAATCCATGTATCACATTTATTTTGCAATTTGGTTTTGTTGGAATAATATAACAAGTGTGAGTAAGTGGGAAAATAGTCTCACATTAGATAGGAATATGGAGATTTAAGCAGAGTTGTTAATCCCGGATAGCGGAGCGGAGCGGCCGACTCCCGGGAATGGGAAAAGCGGGAATAGCGGGATTCCGGATAGCGGGACAACTTTTTGTATACTAATAATTATATAATAATCTATAAAACATATGTTATAAAACATATGTTATAAAACATATGTCATGCAATACTAAATTAATTCCACAACACTCATAAAATACTTATAAAATCTAATGTCAAACAAAGAACAATGCTTAATCAAGACTCAAAACATAAAGATTCAAAACATAAAGGTTCAAATGTCAAACAAAGAACAATGCTTAATCAAGACTCAAAACATAAAGATTCAAACATAAAGGTTCAAATGTCAAACATAGAAATCATATAGCATCATCAAAAGTAAGGACTAGAATAGATAGATAAAAAAGTAGAAACAGTACGTTGCTGGCTTGCTGGCTTGCTGGAAAGGTGAAGAAGTATTAGAGTATATGGATTATGGCATAAGTATAGAAAGGGTACATTTACACATGGCATAAGTATAGAAAGGGCATGTGTCATTGCTGTGCTGAGTCAGCACAGTGGGGTTGGAGTATATTAACTCTATCCCCTTTCCAATTGTACCTTGTTGGCTTAGAAAAAAAAATTAGAAACGGTGAAACTGGAAAGTGTATCACATGTAAATAGAAGAAGTGTACCTTGCTGAATCAGAATTGTACCTTGCTGATTGGCTAAGTAGAAGAAGAAGAGCGCTTGCTGGAAAGGTGAAACGGAAACGGTGGAAACGGTGAAGAGAGACGGCGACGAGAAACAGCGAAGAGAAAAGCTGGAAACAGGCAAGGAGAAAGGAGAAGAGACGGCAGAGAAAAGCTGAAAACAGTAGGAGACGGCAGAGAGAGGAACGGTAGGGCAAGGAGAAAGGAGAAGCGGAACGGTAGGGCAAGGAGAAGAAAAAGAAACGAACGACAGAAAGAAAGAAACGTGAGTTATAACAAACTATTTTACATATTATTTTATAAAATAATAAGGGCAAAACAGTAATTTTGTTTAAAAAAAATTTATAAAAAAAAAAGAAAAACTGCAGATCCGCTCCGCCCGGGAAAAACCCGCGACGGGCGATCCGCTATGTCATGAAAAGCGACCGCTATCCCATCTCCGCTACCGCCCCCATGTTAGCGCGCGGGAGGCCACCGCTCCGCTACGGAGCGCCGCTATAGTGGCCGCTACGGCCGCTTTTGACAACTCTGGACTTAAGCATATATAAGTGGGAGAATCCACTCACCTATCACCTTAAGGTTTTAGGTGGATAAGTAGTGTGTCTCTCTCAAAGGTGCTTATTCCTACACTATGTATGAATGGAGATGAAGCTGCATTGACTGATGCACAAAAAGCAGAAAGAGAAGCTTTGAAGTTAAAGGACTTGAAGGCAAAGAATTACCTCTTTCAAGCCATCGATCGAGCAACTGAACTGACACTTGATGAGTTGCTCCTTCAAGCAGATTTGGGACTCTATGAAAAGAAGGTATTTGGGAAATGCAAGGGCAAAGCGTGTGCAACTGCAAGCACTTCGAACAGAATTCGAAACTTTGTGAATGAACAAAAAATGGAGGACGTGAAGATTGTAGAGAAGATTCTTCGGTCAATGACGCCCAAATTCAATTTTGTTGTCTGCTCTATTGAAGAATCAAAAAACATTGATGAACTGACACTTGATGAGTTGCAAAGTTCCTTGTCGGTTCATGAGCAAAAAATCATCCAGCAGGATATTGAGGAACAAACTTTGAAGGTTTCAACCTTTAAAACTTCCGATAGAGGAAAAGGAAAGTGGAAGGACAAGAATTCATATCACAAATCAGATGAGGATTATGCATCAGATACGCGAAAGGGTAACAACTACCGTCAATTCCGAGGCAACAAGACAAATAATGACAAGTCCATGTTGAATGTTTTCAATGTCACAGATATGGTCACTACAAGTCTGAGTGCAGAACCAAATTTCATCATGATCGTGGTCAAAGTCTACCTATGCGGAAGAAAAGGAAGAAGATATTTCTCTCTTTATGGCATGTCACAAGGAGGAGAAAATCCATGGAAGTATGTGGTACTTAGACACAGATTGCAGCAACCACATGTGCGGGGATAAATCGTTGTTTTCAGACTTAGATGAATCATTCTGAAGCACTATAAAGTTTGGAGATAACTCTACAGTTTCAATCATTGGCAAAGGAAATGTCAAAATATATACAAAAGACAACACAAAACATTGTATTGGTAATGTTTACTTTGCCCCTGATTTAAAACTAATCTTCTTAGTGTTGGACAACTCCAGGAGAAGGGATTTAAGATTAATATCAAAGATGGGGTGTGTTGTATTCAGAATAAAGAAAAGGTATTGGTTGCTGAAATAAGCATGACATCAAATCGCATGTTCCCGCTACATTTCTGAAACACTTCACAAATTAGTCTTTCAGCGAAATTGAAAGATGAGTCATGGCTATGGCATTTTCGCTATGGTCATTTGAGCCTTGGAGGATTGCAAACTCTCCAGAAGAATAATATGGTGAAAGGTCTGCCACTATTTCAAAGACCATCTCAAGTTTGTGAAGAATGTGTTGTTGAAAAGCAACATCGAGAAACTTTTTCAGTAGGAAAATCACGGAGAGCAAAACAAGTCTTGGAGATGATTCATTCTGACATCTGTGGGCCAATCACTCCAACCTGAAATGGCGATAAACGTTACTTCATAACGTTTATTGATGATTTTAGTTGGAAAACATGGGTTTATCTTTTGTAGGAAAAATATGAAGCTCTATCTGTCTTCAAACAATTCAAGGCGCTTGCTGAAAACGAAGCGGAGATGTCAATTAAAATCCTATGCAGCGATCGTGGTGGTGAATACAACTCACGAGAATTTGTAGATTTTTGTGAGACACATGGAATCCGGAAGCAGCTTACAACAGCTTACACACCACAACAAAATGGCGTCTCAGAAAGGAAGAATAGAACCATAATGAATATGGTTCGAACAATGTTGAAGATGAGCGGAATGCCAAAACGTTTTTGGCCAGAGGCGGTAACCTGGAGCATTCACTTGCTGAACAGAAGTCCCACATTTGCTGTCAAAAATATGACACCCGAAGAAGCATGGAATGAACACAAGCCAAATATTGAGCATTTGAAATTTTTTGGCTGCATCGCATATGCTCATGTTCCGGACCAGAAACGAAGAAAGCTAGATGACAAAGGAGAAAAATGCACATTTCTTGATGTAAGTAATCAATCAAAAGCCTATAAGTTGTACAATCCATCCACCAAGAAAATCATCATCAGTTGTGATGCGAATTTTGACGAAAGCAAGTTCTGGCCATGGAGTGATGACAATATTGAGCAAAAAGTCCAAGTTGATTTTGATGAAGAAGGAGGAAAAAGTCAGCAACCCACACCAAGTCAGATTACTTCCATTGTTTCTCCAAATTCTGATGCGAATCTAGATTGCGAAATTGAAGAAACTAAGAGGCGAACTCAACGTAGTAGGAGAAGGCCTGTATGGATGTCCGACTTTGAGGTAACTGGCATTACTGAGGATCCACAAATTCATTATTTACTATTTGCAGATTGTGATCCTGTAGATTTTGAAGATGTTGTCAAAGAGCCTAAATGTCAAAAAGCTATGGATGCTGAAATTGAGTCTATTGAAAAGAATAATACTTGGGAGTTGACAGAACTTCCAAGAGGACAAAAAACCATTGGTGTTAAATGGGTTTTTAAAACGAAGTTGAAAGAAAGCGGTGAAGTCGACAAGTATAAGGCACGAATGGTTGCAAAAGGTTACAAGCAAGAGTATGGTGTCGATTATAAAGAGGTTTTCGCTCCTGTTGCACGCCATGATACAATTAGGTTGGTGATTTCTTTGGCCGCTCAACATTCTTGGTCTATTTACCAATTGGATGTAAAATTTGCGTTTCTCCACGGCGAGCTAGAAGAACAAGTATTTATTGATCAACCTCCTGGATATGTAAAATTTGGAAGTAAGCACAAAGTTTACAAATTAAAAAAGACACTATATGGACTAAAACAAGCTCCAAGAGCTTGGTATAGTCGTATTGATGCTTATTTTTCAAAGGAGGGTTTTAAAAAATGTCCATATGAACATACGTTGTTTTCAAAGTTTAGAGATGGGGAAAAGATGATTATTGCTTGCTTATATGTGGATGATTTAATTTATATTGGAAATGATAGTGCCATGGTTTAAAATTTCAAGCAATCCATGATGTGTGAGTTTGAAATGTCTAATCTTGGAATGATGCACTACTTTTTGGGTATTGAAGCGGTTCAATCCGATGCTGGAATATTTCTATGTCAAAAGAAATATGTGCAGGATGTCTTGGACAGGTTCCAGATGAAGCATTGCAATGCTGTCAACACACCAATTGAGGTTAGTTTGAAATTGGCAAAAGATTCCGGAGGAAAAGAGGTGGACAACATTCTTCACAAAAGAATCGTGGGCAGTTTAATGTACTTGACAGTCACACGACCGGGCATAATGCATGTTGTTTCTTTAATCAGTAGATATATGGAACGTCCAAGGGAGGCACATCTTCTTGCTGCTAAAAGAATTCTCAGGTACCTTCAAGGTACTAAGAATTTTGGTTTGTTCTATAAGAAAAGGAGAAATGACAGATCTGTGTGGATTTAGTGACAGTGATTATGTAGGAGATGTGGATGATTGAAAGAGTACTACGGGATATGTATTTATGTTTGGTTCTGTTGTTGTTTCATGGTCTTCTAAGAAGCAACCAATTGTCACTTTGTCAACAACTGGAGCTGAATTTATAGCTCTGACAGCATGTGCTTGCCAAGCCATTTGGCTCAAGAGAGTTCTTGAAGAACTACACTTTAAGCAAGATGGGGCAGTAGTGATTTATTGTGATAATGATTCTACCATCAAACTCTCTAAAAATCCTGTTTTATATGGAAGAACCAAGCACATAGATGTGAGGTTTCATTTTCTAAGGGATTACACAAAGTAATGTATAATCGATATCTTCTATTACAGGAGTGAAGATCAGATTGCAGATATAATGACCAAGCCACTGAAATTGTCTACTTTTTTTAAGCTCAGGAAGTTACTTGGAGTCTGCACACTAAATGAGACTTAGTGAACTGAAGCTGAAGGGTTTCAATTCAAGGGAGAGATTGTTAGGTTAATTTAATTATTTGCTTTTTAATATGTTTAAAAGATTTAGTCTTTACGGGTGTTGTTAGTGCTGTTAATTTGTCTAGTGGGTAGCTAGTTTTTAGAGATTTTAAATTCGTGACTTTATTGAATTGTTCTGCTGTACTACCTATTTATAAGGCTATTTATTTTCAATAAAATTATACTCTTGAATTCAGTTATCAATATCTATCAGGTTTTGCGCCATGGACGGTTCGCTACATTGTGCACCAAATATGTGAATGTCTGTGTCTTAATTCATAGTTGCTTTTTCCCTTTTTAAAAAAAAATCTATTTAGGTATTGCTGGAGAAAGAAAATTGAAAGCCTTCTACATGCTAGCTTGCAACAGGATATTCTCATTGTTAAATGGAATTCAACAAGCTTAAGCTCTTGGAGGTCTTAAAATTCAAATGAAAGTTTGAAATTTTGATTGAAATGGTTTATTTTTTTGCGTTTAAGTTCTTGCAATGTAAGCTGCATTATATTCAGAAAAATTACTGCATTACACTCAAGGAACAATCCTAACTCCTAAGTATGGAAAATTTATTCACATTATCTATAATTGACTTGTGGAGACCGGAAAACACGTTTAGTAATCCATTGTAACGGTCTAAATAGTATTGCCCTTTTCTTGCGCCAAAACCAAATCGCAGCATTGTATTGCTCATTGCGAACCTTTCGCGTGGCTGCCTTCCAGTCAAATTTCTCCATCTCATTGCGGGCAGCTTTTCCTATGGTTTCTCTCAACTGTTTGTCAAACAAAAGTGGCTCCAATTTACTCAAGCAATCTTCGAGATCACCTGGATTGTAGAGATAGCCGGTTTTACCTTCTTGATCTGCAGGGATTATATCTGGAATGCCTCCAGCGCGTGCGGCCACCACAGGTATCCCTGAAGACATGGCTTCCAAAACAACGAATCCAAGTGTCTCGGACTCTGAAGGCATGACGAATACATCTCCACTAGCATATGCTTGAGAGAGTTCTTCTCCTTCTAACATTCCTGTGAATACCGCAGGCATACCTTCAAACAATTTTTCTAGCTCCACCCTGTTAGTTTAAGAACTCATAGATATCGGTTAGGTAAAAGCAATGAAAGCAATTCGAGACGTGTTGTATTATAATAAGTCACACCTGTATGGTCCATCTCCAATAAAAGCAATTCGAGCTTCAGGAAGTTTATTCATGAGCCTACAAAACCATGTAGTTTGGGCGTCAAAGGCAGGGTAGAGATATTCAAGTTCGTATGATCGATAAGCAAGTAATAATCTCAAGTTAAGGAAATTGCAAGATAAAGTTCTTTACCCTTTAAGAAAATCTAAACTCTTTTCTACTCCAAGCCGTCCAACATGAACTATCAAGGGTTTCTCAGGTTCACCATTGCTGTAAAAATAAGATGAAAACCAATCATTACAAAAACTTGTAAATAACAGGAAAAAATGAGTAAAGGTTCAAACCTTAGCCTTAATCGCATTTCATGCGAATGGTATCGAGGATGAAAACTTTCAGAATCAACACCTTTGTTCCAAAGACGAATCTTGTTCGCTGGATGTCAACAAGAGAAATAGATCAGTCCCTTAATTTTTCTGCGTTGACAAAATGCGTGTTGAGAATTGCATATATTTAGACATTGTTACCAACTAGGCATTGGTAAAAAAAAACTGGATAAGAGGATTTTAAGTTCACCTGCTGTCACTCTTGCCGCTTGAAGATCCTTCGCAATGGCAACAGATGGTACCAGAGTCAGGTCAGCGGCTCGGTGAAGAAATTCTACATGAAAAAACAAATTTTATGTTATGATCATTAATACGTAGTCCGAATATGAAAAGTGGTTCAGAAAATATACATACTTATGACCCACCACATAGGTATCACCAGCCAACTAAAGGTATATCTTGGAATGTACCTGGAGACACAATACGATCATATAGTCGTATTAGAACAATAGTAATCATAAGAGCTATGCAATCTAAAATGGTGAATAAATTTAGAAAATTTGAAATCTAACTGAAACTTACACTGGTACATGGGTATGATAAGACATGACAATTGGAACCGACAAAAGTTTAGCAATGATAAGAGCACCAAAAACCTGAAAATATGGTAGTATCAGACACACCTACGTTATCCTTCTTGACACCAAAGTTTGATAAATAAGGATATATAAGAATTGCGAACCAACCATTATGCCTGGTGACGATGCATGTATTATGTCAGGCTTAAACCGAGCTACCTCTGAAATTATTCTTGGACTAAGTGCCAACGAGAGAGGTACGTTCTGATACCAAGGGAGCGGAAAGCTGAATTTCCAATTTGAGTTCGGGAAATGATAAGTGTTGTGCAAAATAAAGTACCGATAATTGTTTGAAAATATGTGAATAGGCAAACCAAATCTTGTGATAGTGGTAATTAAGAGATATGAGTTAAGAAACTAAAACAGAACCTCCAAGATCCTATTACTTTGGCTCCGTAAAATTCCCGGGGCACTCCTTTATGTGTTGTCACAACCATTACCTATAACAAACAAATAAACACATGTAGTTAGAATACAATGCAAAAGAAAAAATAATATATGATAAACAACATAATACTTTGATAGAAAACAAGTAGAAAAGTTACCTCATCTCCCATTTCACGAAGGCATTTGATAAAATTCTGAAACCGGTTTTTGTATCCTGAGACATATCTGCAAAATAGACACGGCCAAGAACAGATACTCTTTTAAAAGTGAAGATACGTATCTTTATTCTTGCACAACTTGCATGATAGATCTTTCGAAGAATGACATATGAGTAATGCTAATTTCAGTTTGATCTCATTTGGATTGCAATGCATACAGAAACTAGAAAACTTGGTAGATTAACTACTCATTGGCAAAGGAAGATTAGAACCAGGGAAACACAAACACTTCAAAATAATACTCCTAGGAACATAGCTGTACTTTACAATTTACTATTTTTATTTATTGAATGAACTTCTATGACAATTTAGACTGTACTATAACAATAATTAGGTAAGCAACACAAGTTGCCACTTCTAAAGGAAAATATATATACTAACTCTATAGCATCTCATAATGTCTACAACTATTTATGCTCACCTTCTCTGGGCAGCCCATAAGGCCCAAAAAAGGCATGGAGGCCTAATACAAGACAAGGAGATGAAGGGCGTTTCCTGAGCCATTCAAGTGTAGCTGCGAAGTCCATTCTGACTGTTCAGATCTATCTAACAGTCAACTGCGTTTCACGCTCGCACGTGCATTCAGTTACTAACAAACTATTCTATATAAAGAGATGACCATGCCATTTCTAAGGTATTGAATCTCTGCCCATTCAAATTATACTCTCACTCCATTACTGACTTGAGTGTTTGAGTGTTAACCTTGCAGGTCAACTCCTCTCCACCGTATCGGAATCTTGAACCACCAAAGCACCACACTTGTTCAACCTCTCCAATTATCATCTAGTTTTAGAGCATAACACCTTCCAAATCAATTATGTGTTTTGATTATATATCCATGTGCATCGTTGTAGCATCTTGTCCTATAATTTTAAAACTTGTCATATCTCTAAGTGCATTTTAACATATTTGTGCATTGTGTTTGGTTATACGTTCTGTAGCATCGACACTTCTGAAAAAATGGTGTATCCGTATCGGTGTCGACACAAGACACCGATTTTATACATTTTTTCAAATTATTATTGATTTTGATATGATTCTTGCTAAAAGTGATTTATGTAAAAGTGTGTTAACAATAAATTGTTGGCTAAAACTCAACAGCAGAGATAAAAGCTCAAAATTTTAGAATCAATTTTTGAGGTAAATCACAAAACCAAACAATCAAAACAATTGCAATGAGGTTTCAACTTCAACAACAAACACACACAGCTCATTCAATAAAGCATTAGATAATAGCAGAATGCAAAATGAAGAACAAAGCAAAAACAAAAAGGGGACTTACGCAAATGGAGAAGGCTCAACAAATAGAGCAATTCTCCGAGGCTTCAAATTCCTCTTATTTTCAGAGTCAACCAAACTAGAAGAACCACCCTCTTCCGTAGCCTCTTCACCATGAGACTCAACCTCTGTTTTATCCATGTTTGTAGCTTCAAGCACCAAACTTTTTCTACTCTGGACCGTTTTTAGCCCTTGAAAATAGCGTAATTGTGGTTTTCTACAAGAAAGAGTAATGGGTTTTGGTCGTAATGGTGAAAAAGGTTGAAATGTAAGAGAGGTGATAGGAGGGTGTGAAGAAGATGAAGGAAGACAAGAGTTTATAGAGAGAGTTGTAGTGTTCATATTCAGAATGAAAGGAACAAGTTTCAGAATTTGGATAGAATCAATTTCATTATTAGCGATAGAGAATCCAACCAAGTTGGAAGTGTGGGAGTTCGTTGGGACGGATTCTTGTAGAATATGCGGATTCTTGTTTTTGTTTTTTTCCACTATTGTTATATAGTTACCGTCCTTACTTGATTAATCATCATTGAATCAGTTAACGATTAATTATAAATTATTTGTTAACGATTAATTATAAATTATTCGTGACTGATTGAATGATAGATGAATGATAAATAGTTACGAAAAAGAAGAAAAAAACAATTCTTAATCATAAAATATTTTACCATTTTAATAAAATATTAGTATAATGTCTTATGTTTTCTCTTTTTTCTATTTTTTATATCATTTATGAAAAGTAATTTTGAAATTTATTTATAGCTTATCTTCTTCATTTTCATGTAAAATTAGTTATATTTTTTAATTGATGTAAAATTGTTAGAAGAATTTATAACTTAAAATGAAAAGAGTGAAATTTAAGCAAATGCTAACACTGCAAAATTTTCTTTTTCTTTTATAAAATAAAAACTTGTATATATTTTATATTTCATTTAGAAAGTGTTCTTGCTAAAGACTATGTGAGAGACTTTGTTGATAAGATATTAAAAAAGAATTAAATAAGTTATTATATTGAACAAAAAAACATTGATATGCAAAAGGAGTGGAAAGATCAAACCTAAATTCACTCTAAGGGACTTAAACCTATAAAATAGTAGTTTTAGCGTAATCTTTATATAGTCTTTATAATTTTCAAAGGTCAGGATTCAAATTAAGTCAAGGTATTAGATGTGCGGCTTATATGATAAGTGGTATTTATATCGTTTATTGTGTGTCTTTAGCAGTGTTTATTATATTTTTTCTTGTTTTATTTTGTTTTTATGCGCTTTTGGTGTGTTCTTACTGTTTTCAGGTAATAAGGGAGTGACTGACTAAGCTGGAAACAAAAAATAAAATCAAAAATCATGCAAAAAAGAAGTCCTCCCATACACAAAGCCCAAATCCAACACGGTTGGGTCGTGCCAGCTGACACAAACCGAGTTGGCTGGAAGCACATCGCACATACATCAAAGTCGGGGATAACACGGTTGGGTCGTACCAGATGACAAGGGCCAAGTTGGTCGGAAGCATCTGACACGTGTCATGTTGTTCCCTGACTCCCCCTTATATGTTCAAAGAATAACACAGGCAGGTAGTGTTTCCTAACACCGCCTGTGTTCAGCCCGACAGTTACAAACTCTTGAAGTTTTGGACGTTTTGTGACTGTTGGTGCCTCTAAGATATTTCAATTCAAGTAGTTAATGACCTTAAATATCATTTACACGAATTTAGGGCCTTGAATGTGGTTAGTGGCTATAAATAAAACTTGAATCATTATTAACAATTATTATGCTTTACTTTTACATTCTCTAAGTTTATTTTCTAGCAATGAGCTTTTGTTTAAGCTTTCTTATGAATTCTTTTGTTGTAATTTCAAATTCCTTGTAAGAGCGAACAAGTATTCCAGAAGTTTTTTCTTTGTCCAATCATTGTCTTCACTTAGGCTTACTTTTGCAGTTGCTTTTATTTATTTGTTATGCATGCTATGTTTATACTCTGTTTATTTGCGATTAATCTCACCATGGGTGAGTAGTCCATTAGGGAGAAAGGGTCGTGAGACCTATCACATTGCAAACCCCCAATTAAATGATCCATATATGAATTACGAGAAAACATGAGCAAAACATTATTTGAGAATCTGACCACTTAAACAGATTCATGTCAGTTGTGAAAGCAAAGGCAACTCAAATATCGATCATGTACTGAAATGTAATGATTCGGTATCCGAGAGCAGATTGCTAAACATTTGAGTTCGAGGAGACACTAGCAAGGTGACTTGTTCTTGGTTGATAAACAACCAAGTTAAGGCAACACTGACAAGGCGTCTCGCTCTTTGTTGAGAAAGTCCCACAATTGTGCTAATATATGAGTTCTTAAATGAATGATATGGGCTAGCGAAAGTAGACGAATCATTCATCCGAGAGAATACACATGCTATGAAAGCATGTGTTGTACAATTTTATCTATTTTTCTATAACTCACTCTGCTTTCTCATATTTGATTTAGGAAAATCAATTGGGTATATCGAGATAGGTTAGCATGTACCTCATGTCCTGCTTTGTTATTTTGTTAATTGTATTCCTTTACTTTGAATCCCAATATTTTGATCGCTTTAGCTACACATCATTAGAGTAAAAATCGGTACTCAGGTATATCTCTTTGTGGTTCAACATCTTTTATAACTTTGCATTGTTGTACACTTTCGGCTTGCATCAAGTTTTTAGAGCCGTTACCGGGGATATACTTTTTATATTGAAGTTTTATTCTAGCACCGTATAGACTAAAACACATTTTATTTTATGTTTTTGCTGCTTTTATTTCTTTACTATCTTTGTACGCGAAGATCCCGCTCCGCAGAAAATCACTTCGAACCTTTGAACGAAATTGAGCGTTGTTTGCACAAGAGACGTCGAATTCTCATACAAATGGCTAAGCCTATAGTGGATACCAAACAACTGAAATACTATGTGATCCCCAAAGATGAGGAACCAATGTTGCACCCCAAAATTCGCCCTCTTCATTTTAACCATATTTGGCTTATGCTTTATCATCATATGCATACATACATGTCATCAACTTTATACTCATGGAATCAAGGTTTTTCTTTGTGAAAAGAGCTGCGAAAGATAATTGTTTCGTTAAGCAGCACTATGAAGCAAAACTCAGGGTTTTTGGATTTTAAATGCACGGCGCACGTGTTCCAATCTATCCAACCAGGAATTAATCAAGTCATTATCATATCAATCTCTCATGTGTTTTGGTGCCCTGTGAGTTGCACAGAAAGTCAAGCGTTTCAGTTGATTTGAGACAGTTCAGATAGAAGATCAGTACTTTGCAGTTCGAGGTCAAAAAATTGCAACTTGAGACCAGAAATTGGTTTGGGAATGGTTCTATAGGCATTAGAACCGTCTTGAGATCTTCTCCAATTCATCTGTTCAGGTTGAAGGCTAATTTTGTGAGGAAGATCTTCAAAAGTGCATATACCTGAAATCATGTTATACAGTGGATTTGTTGGTTCGTTGGTTTTAGGACATTCAAAAAATCGTAAATTTTGACTAAAAAATCATCTTTGAGTGGCTCTTGAAGCATTTGAACCATCTTGTTATCTTCTTCAATTCATATGTTAAGGTCGGAATCTGATTCAATGAAGGAGATCCCCAGATTTAAGAATACTCTGAGACTGGTACCCTGAAACAGTATGTTGATCCGCTATTTTTTTGGATATTCAAAAATTCATGACTTTCGTATGGTTCGACGTTTCTGAATGGTTCTTTTGGCATAAAATCCTTCTTGATATCATCCTCAATTTGTATGTTCGATTCAGAAGTTAATTCTTTGAAGAAGATCTCCGAAAGTGTGAATTACCTGAGAAAACCCCAAAATGGTTTTCTACTAGACTACTTCTCAATATTGCCAAAATCACAACTTTCTCAATTTTTATCAGTTTGGGACGATTCTCAAAGAGTGAGATCACAAATTTTGTAAGCTACAACTTTGCTGCAAGTCCCGAGTTTGAATTGTGCTTCGAAGGCTTCAATTTATGGCTCACTTCTTAAAGTGTGCATGGAAATAAGCTGAAAAAGTGGTGCAACCCAAAACACTGGATTTTCTATCCCAAGTTTCTCTCTATTCAAAAAATTATAAAAGCCTCAAGAAAGAGGAAGAGAAAAGGAAGATCATTGCTGACTTGGAGAATGAAAGGAAGCAACTTTTAAGTACTATTTCTCATCTAAAAGTGAGGTAACACGCTTAAACTCCAAGCTTGATAACTTGAGTGATTCCATAAATATGGTGAAAGATGATGAAGATACCAAAGTTCATTATCAATCTGATAATAAACTAAGGAGAATATCAGAAGATAAGTTCTTTCCTTCTGATAAGAAGAAAAAGATCAACATGTCCAAACACATGTTACACCATCCTGGCAAATATTATGAATCTTCAAATCAATCTCAATCTACTTAGAGGTTTCACTATTGTGGTGAGTCTGGTCATATAAAGCCTTTTTGTTTTTAAATTGTACGGAGATAAAAATATTCAGTTTGTTCCAAGGCAAATAAAGTGAGCAAGAAGAGATGTGTTGAAAATGGGGATATTAATCTTATAGCGTATACTTACTTAAGAGACTCAACTAGTGAAGACTGGTACTTTGACAGTGAATGCTCTAGACATATGACAGGGGTCCAGAAGATGTTGGTGGATGTCAAGCCTCATCTCACTGGTCCGGTTAGATTTGGTGATAGGTTTAATGGAGAAATCAAATAAGTTGGAAAGATGATGTATGATGACTGTCCCAGGTTAGAAGATGTGTTATTTGTCAAAAGGATTGACTACTAATCTTATTAGCATTAGTAAACTGTGTGACCAAGGTTTGTTAATAAACTTCTCGAAATCAAAATGTCTAGTCAAAAATGAGAAAGAAGTTGTTCTAATGAAAGACATAAGGTCCAAAGTCAACTGCTATTTGTGGAATCTCGAATAATTGCTTACTCTTCCACATGTTCAACAACCAATGAGGATGAAGTGAAGTTATGGCACTAGAAACTTGGACATCTTCATTTCAAAAGAATGAAGGAAGTCATATATGAAGGAGCCATTAGAGATATGCCAAAGATTAAAATTGAAGAAGTAAAAGTCTGTGATAAGTGTGAAAGTAAAAAGCAAATCATGATGTCACACCCAATGTTGCAACATCAGACTACTTTCAAAGTTTTGGAACTTCTTCATATGAATGTAATGGGACCATTACAGATAGACAACCTAGGAGGAAAAATGTATGTCTTTGTGGTTGTAGATGACTTTTCTGGATATACTTGGATGAATTTTCTTAGAGAAAAATCAGACACTTTTGAAGTTTTCAAAAG